CTCAGCTTGTGTGCTGTCCATTAAGGCCCCGTACTTTTCTACCTTTGATTCGCTGTATAAAAGTCCCGGAAGGGTTTTCACAAGTAAGCTTGACACCTTCAAACTGCAAATTTAGCGACTTTAACTCATGAAAAGAACAATGACAGCGAGTTTCACACAGGATAAACAACTCTTGTATGACACATGCCGTGACTGCACAGGAAACTGGATGTGAGAGAAGACAGAGGGGAAAAAACACTCTCTCTAAATAATCCCAAATACTACAAAACATATGTTAATGTAATGATCCTATAGTCACCAGAAACTGATGGAGATAGGCTTCTCGGATGAGCAATGAAACACAGCTACACGCAGAAGATATTATCAAGTAAATGCCGCATGCAATACTTGGATAGTTTTATGCACTATGAGATTACATTTTGTATGCATGCTCTGTGGCAGTGTTGCCAACTGCTTTCAATTGAAAGTAGCTAAAACTGGTAGCTAAATGTCACTAGATGACATCATTATGGCAAATTCACTGATCTATATAAAGATGAATAAAGATTAGATGAGAACTTAGATAAGGTTTTTCCAAGAAATTGCTATATTTGTCCCTAAACTTTTGAAAAAGGTCTCAAAATGGGTGGGGAAGTTGCTAAATCTTGCTACAAAATTGCTAAATTGGCAACACTGTCTGTTTCATAGAGAAAAGCCTGTTTGTTTACGCATGCGTTCTTGTTGCTAAGACAGAGGGTGTGAGAATATCTCAGGTCAAAGCATGGATCCCCGTATGCAGTGTTGGGATTCAATTTTTGGAAATGTAATAGGTTACAGATTACAAGTTACCCAATTTAAAATGTAATAGTAACGTTTTCAATTACTTTATTAAAGTAATGTAACTGATTACTTTTGATTACTTTTTGATTACTTTTCTAAATTTCTAATGAATGTTTTCAACTGTTAATCATTTTCAAACATTTACACCATGCAGGGTTAACCTTACAGTAGTGCTCAACACTGATACTGTCAGACTTTCAAAATCCTTCATCACTTGAATTAAGATGATCAAATTTGAACACATCCACCACAAAATCAGACTTTAGTATCGCCTTTTATTTTGAGATTGATCTGACGTTCATTGCAGATTTAAAATCATAAGAAATAGTTTACTGATACTGTTTTTTGGAATAACTACAGGAAACATTGCAGCAATGCTTTGGATTTTTTTTTAAAGTAGGCTACAGTAGGCCTAACCATGGTTTTTTTGGCAAATGGATTACCATTTGTCTTTATTTTTACTACAAATTTCATGGTTAAACTATGATTAGTGTAGCCAAATCCATTAATAATTTGTGGTTACCATGGTTAGGTAAAATCATTGTTAGATTGTTAGCTTATTAGAGCTTTATTATCGAATGTCGAATTCGGAAACAATCGCTTTAGTACATTCGGCAGGCAATTATATAATCACAATCATATTAATAAAGCGGGCAAAATCAGCTGCCAAACCACCGGGAATTGTCCCGGTTCTCCCGATGACCAATCCGCGCCTGATTTCCACAGAGACACGCAGAACGTGCATGATTCATATATTGTCTCTTTGCTGCTGAATATTTACAGATTACAGTTACATTTATTTTGTAATTGAATTACGTAACGCCGTTACATGTAACTAGTTACTCCCCATCACTGCCCGCATGTATAGCCTGCTGATCACATACCAGTGATGTTTTTAGCTTCAAAGACTTTTCCTAGATGGACCACGTCAGGGTTAGTGAGACACAGACATTTATAGGTGAGGCATGAACACATTGCTAGTGACCCACAACAGGACAAGTGCTGACCAAGCCAACGGCTACATCCCACTGAGAAAACAGAATCTGTCACTTCAAACATCATCTCTGGGGGGATTCGTATCCATGTTCCACAGTGATGAATGGGAGCTGAAGTGGACCATTGACGCCCAAGGGCACAATGGATGACGGGGTTGAATAAAACCAGCTTTCTCTTGTTCTATAACACACTAAATAAGATGTGGGTTTGGGCTGTGTGGGGCCAGCGCGGGCAGAGAGGACCCCTTTGTGTTTACATGTGGACATACGGCAAATTATAAAATCGACAAAGATAAGCACATTTTTTATGAACTCATCTTTGGTTGTTCCAATTAATTTCCCATTTCCAATAAAATATCTACTTACCAGTCAATGCTTATTGTGTTGCAGCAAAGCTATTCATCTTACAGAAGCCACTCACAGATTTTTATAAGGTAAATTAATATTTAAAAATGTATTTTAAATATTATAAGTTAATTTAAAAAGATGAAAATCAAACGTTAATACAAAAAAAATAAAGGACATAAAACGTGTAACAAATGAATTAAAATATTTATAAGTCAATAAAATTAGCCTATATGTAAAAAAAAAATATATAAAATGAAACAATTAAAAATCACCCAAATATATTATAAAATGAGAGCTGTCCTTTAAGTTTAATCTTCTGTGTACAAACTGAGCACTTCCTTTAGATTTTATGAAAACAAAATTAGCTATAAAAAAGCAGACATAGCCTAATGAAGCAATGGCTACGTTTCATAAGCCTACATTAAGCCTTGCTATGGTTAAAAACCTACTATTTGACGGGATATTCGTTTGGCAATGAAGTTTAATATTAACTGTATTAACGGGTATTAATGTTCGTTGCGGCCGAAGCCAACGTTGCAAGAGGCCCTATATGACCTACAAGACAAAAGAGCTGCTTAGCTTTGAATGGTTTGTTGTTAAATAGGCCTACCGTTTAGACAAGAGAGTAAAACAATAATCAGAGGACATGATATCACGGACAGACTGTCTCAAATAGAAGAAGGAAAACTTCTGTTGTCAGTTTTCATTGAATCTACGCATAGCAGCTTGCAGACTGGTGAACACGAAGGTTTGTGGGTAGCCTATAGCCTTCTCATTTAAAAGCCTCAAGCGTATATGGCTTAATTATTTCAAGGTTTCTTCCGTTTCTTGGGCAAGGCAGCGGCTGAAAGCGCGATATGCCACAACTGATGTTTTTTTTCTTTTCTAATTTTGGGGTAAAAGAGGCAAGTCGGAGAGTTTGAGCAGCCATTACTCCAGTCTTCAGTGTGACATGATCCTTCAGAAATCATTCTATGCTGATTTGGTGCGCAAGAAACATTTCTTCAGTTATTATTACAGTTAAAATTATTGTGCTGCTTAATATTAATATGAAAACCATGACACTTTTTTCAGGATTGTTTGATGAATAGAAAACTCAAAAGAACAGAATTTATTTGAAATAGATTTTTTTAACATCATTACTGTCACTTTGAATCAATTGAATGTATCATATGAATGTAAAGGTATTAATTTCTGTTTTAAAACAATCATACTGACCCCAAACCTTTAAATGGTAGTGTACATATGTAGTCAAATTTTAGATGTAGTCAAGTTTTCCAAGTGAGCTTATGAAAGTATGTGATAACAGACTTTAGATAAAATCACAGCCATGGCTAGGTTCTCGGAGTGTGTAGCCACGTAGCCCAGCATCATGATCCCCGGCAGGCGTACATTCCCTTTGGAGTCCCCGAGGTAGTCAATCACAGCTGCTACGCCCCCCACATTCACTATTATCTGAGACAGCTGAGTAGGAAACACACAATGCGCACAAGGAAACACGGTTTTTTTTTTTTTTTGATTCTTTCCATTTCTGTCAAACTGATGGAGTTTGTGTTTTGTCTTGCCACTGTTGCCTTTGGCTTGCTTAGCTGTGGTCTAAAAGTCATCAATTTGACAGCACTGATACTGTCGGATGAGCACAAAAATAACAAACTAAATTGAGTTGAATAATGACACTATTGTCTTCTGGTTTATAGCTGAATCAAATTGTTCATAATTCATGAATTTTGCAACATCAAAACTGTTATTGAACTGAATTGAATAAACACTGAACTGACTCGAGGCTGAATAACTACACTGTTGTCTTCTTATCACTGAATTGAACATGTTTCATAATGAATTAACTTAAAAGTTACTGAACATAACTAAACCAACACAGAACTGACTGCAGTTGCATAATGACACTTCTGTCTTGCTACAACTGCTTTATAGCAAAATTTGGATTTGCCTTATTTGCATCAATTCTGTTATTTTCCTGTTTAATACTGTGAAGTGACTTTGAAACAAACTATTTTGTATTAAAGCGCTATAAAAAATAAATTCCTGGCAAAGGAAAGATGTGGTCTTGAAATCTGGAGATGTTGCACTACCATGAACTTTAAATTTGTTCAATGTTCAATATGTACATTTTCAGTACCTGCTAACAGTACAGTAACACGTACTGTTACTGTTTATAGTCGGAGTTTAAATAAAAAGTGCAAACAAACTGTTTTTGCGTTGACTTTATACTTATCACAAAACATTTAAAGAATAACAGCACAAAAATATGTTAAAATGGAAATTATTTAAGCATGGATTGCTTGGTTGACAGTGTTAATAGAAATTTTTGCATTGAGCAAAAGCAATTTTAAAGGTGCTGTATGTAAGTTTTTGACTCTACTAAAGCATAAAAATACCATAATATGTTTGCAGATATTTAAGAAACATGCTAAGTTAACATACTTGTTTATCTGAAAAACAATGCCACAGTCAGTTATTCTCCTTTGAAAATGTGTGTTCCGGGCCGGAATGTCAGTCTCTGTTTTGGTTTGTAAAACCCGCCCACTGCCAGTTTACCCAATTGTATTTCGGCACCCAGGGTTACCAGTTGGTGGAAAACAGTGTATTTCATTTCATTCATTGTCAGGTGCGCTCGTTCCTGTTGGTGTCGCCAGTCTGGCAACCTGTGTGTGTGTCAAGTCTGAGGAGGAGGGACCGGGTGAAAAAAACCCTCTCCCAATATTTTGAATTTGGACTGCAATACCTAGTTCAACCACTCGTGTCAATCCTACATACAGCACTTTTAAGCATGAAGGTTCAACACCTTAACACAAACCTATTCATTTCAATTAGAGAGGCTCAGCTAAAGAAACTCACGTTTTGCTCAGCCAGGGAGTACACAAGCTGAGGAAGAATGTCTCCCTTTACTACAGCCTCAGCCAGGTCATCGTTATAGTTGGCAAGCCTTCCGAGAGCCAGAGCTGCTGTCTGCTGAATAGTTGGGACTGCATCCAAAAGGAGAGGCCTCAAAAGGGACATTACACCTAAGCCAAAGAGAGTGAGCACATTTGTGCAGGGGAGAAAACTGGAGTGGAAAGACACTTGAGAGCAGATGAGGGGAGGATATACTTTCAAAGATTCAAATCATATAATAAAATATATCTACACAAAATGTTCTTCTAAGTTCCAAAAGGTATCAGGGTAAGCATGAGCATATGTATTCCTTATTTCTGTAATACTAATTATGTAACTTTTTTTGAAAGACAAATTTTCTGGAAACATTCATTGTACTGTGTTTGGGAGAAAATGAAAGATACTGATTTAGATCCTTGTACAAAGAAACATTTGCAATGGCCTCTTTTCCCCCCATCAGTCCTGAGTGTTGAAAGAGTTTAAATAAATATGCTTCTTCTCTACATTGTAGGTAGGGATAAATCAATCAGTCAATCCATTTTGAATTTAGTTGAGTTTTGTTAAGTTTGGAGTTGAGTAACTTTTGTTTAAATTTTTTTTAATTCTATTTAAATGATTAAATTCGACATTTTATATACAAGTACAAGCAAATATAACATAGTATCTACATACAAGCAAATGCCATAACACACTTCATGCAGAAACCTCCCTTAAACAAAATAAACATTTTAGACACTCACCTGCATTTTGAAGTGTTTCAGTATTTTGTGGTCTTGCTGCAAGATCTGCTACAGTTTGCACAAATTGTGTTCTTGCCTTCTGGTACTGCTCAAACACTGCATAATAACAATAATAATAATAGACGAAATAAGACGAATCAGTTATGCAACTAACTGCAAAAGTAAGCCACCACTAGCAGTTTTAATTAACGTTTTAAATTTCTAACGTAATTAAGGATCTTACTTTCTCACCTTGCAAAATCTGTCGTTGACTCATAACGTGAGTATCCCAAATCGGAGCAAAAACGACAAAAAGCTGCGTGAATGCGACAAAAATTTACGTTTTAAGCTTCAATTATGAAACAGCTTTTGTTGTGACTGAGTTTAGAGGAGGCGTGCAGCTGTTGTCTTGGCAACAAACCGGAAGTGATAGGCACCGTGTTCGTTCGGTGCGTTTGCTGTCAATGCTTATCTGATGATTCGTGCTGAAACACGCATATATGTTCAAATCAGGACCAGTGTCGCATGCAGTTTATGTCCAGATGTAATAGCGGGTTAAATAATCCCTAATTAGATTGGGATATTAAACAAGATTTAAAAACGGTCGATGAATGTGGGATATCGGGACAGAGCTGCGAGGCCGAACAGCTGCCCCCACATTAGTTTCATGGTTACCGCAGAGACAACTGCAGTCACAGCAGCACTGATATTTAGTGATTACTAGTCTTTACATTCGCAAATTTTCTTTAAATAACTTTCAGAACAGCAAAGAACTAGTGCTTGCTATAGTTCTTGCATCATATAGGCAAAAATGTGTCTACCGTCGAACAGAATACAAACTTTCCATAGGCTACGCGATTGTCCATTTGAAAGTTGTCGCTCTAGTTTATAATTTTAATATGATGTTATGATGTTTCACGTGGTCACATGTGTATGACCGCTGTCGGGTTATCTTAAAAGAGATGTGGTTTCTAATTAAAAGACATGATTTGCATGAAGCATGGTGTGGCTGTGAGTGCCTGCAGTGAATTCATTAACCCACACACACTGAAAGAAACCTACATAAAGGACAATTATTGTTTAATCCTCCTCAAGCTTTAATAATGCGGCAATTTGAGCTTGTTACCATAGTTATGAATTCATAATTTTTCTTTCATATTTTATTGTTGTCTCAAGCGTGTATGTTTCTAACATGACTTGGCCAAGCACTTAACACACTGTGTAGGCTATTAGAAACTATTTTGTATTTAGTTATATGGGCCTTAAATGGTCAAATCTAAGCTTGTCATTTAGGTTGTTATATCTGAACCATTATGACAAGTAATCGGTTCATAAAGATTATCTGACCGGTAACATGACATATCAAACAAACTGGGCTTTTAAACGCCAGCTCAAAAGAGTTTATGCCACTTCTTTAATGCCACTTCTGCCAAGGAATGGTCTCATAATGAGCGAGGCTTTTCAACGAATTTGTGTATAAATACTGTTGAATTTAAATTAAGAACAAGTGGGCCTACATTTATTCGTAAGGTTCATGACATCAGCCATGGCAAGGCGACGTGAGCAGAGAATATTACATATTTGGAAAAATAAGCTTTCCCAAAATTGTTCTTTATTTTTACAAAGCCAGATTATTTGAAATGTCACAAAATGAATGTAAAGAATATACACTATACTAGCCTTTGCTCATTCACTCGTAAGTCCAGTCAACATCACTGGTGATTTTCTTATGTCTTGTTTAATTTATAGTATTAGTAAAGGTCCAAAAATATTTTTATAAGCTGTTATCGCTCTGTAACTCTGAATGGGGAAAAACACCTTGAAAGACATTCAGTCAGACTACTCATGGAAGTCTCAACACCGACAAATGTGCCCACTGAGAAACTGCCTTATTCTACAAGATTTCTAAAGTCTTCTAAAGACCATGTCGACGTACCAGATTATTACTGAAACTCTCAACTAACCTACAAATCTGTAACAGATGAACTACATAACCTGTTAAACTAAATAGCTTTCATTACCTCAGTATATCAAGTCAAGCTTTCCTCGCCTCACGGAGAGATTCACCGGCAAATTTTGCACAAAAAAGGTCTGACTGGGTACTTTGCACAGGCTAGTTATAAGCTTGTCATCTGTTTGAGCTATACAGTTCGTGAAGTCTTTAGCACCTGCCTTACAATACCTTCTCCGCAACAGATTATATGATGTTCAATGCATTTGACCATAAATTAACCAGATTAACTACTTCAAATGTATTACCAGTTTATCACACAAGCATTTAATTGACTGCCATCCGCGCTAAAGCGTGTAGGCTCTCTCTTTATGAGCCAATAAATAAATAAATACAAATTTAAAAAACACGGTTATTCTGTACTGCAACCACATTTTTATGATTATTTATTGAGATTTATTGTCTACTGAGAGATGAGCTAATACTGGAAAGGAAAAAGGGTCCCCTTAAATACTAAAATTTCAACTTTTTGCACCATAATACATATTGTAGGCCTACATAAAATAAATATATTCGGATATCATGCAAATTCATGAAGATTTTCAGGTGTATGTAGATTTCTCTCACTTTGTATGTTTCGAAGCAGCATTAAAACGCGAGAAGGCGATTTGAAAGTGTAAAATGTTTATTTAGATGTTTTATACTGTGCAACAGTCACAATACAATAGCTGTCAATAGTCTACAATCGACCAATAAGACAATGAACACTGAAGACATCAAAATGTTGTCCAGAATGAGAAGTTGGGGGTATAACAGTGGCTGTTTGTCGGCAAATTCGTGAATGTAATAGCTTGAAAGCAGTCTGAAAGATAGGCTATGTGCATGCTATGCAGGACTGGAGTATGACCTCGAGACCAAACTGACGAACCCGAACCGGTAGAGTGAAGCAAATCGTACAATAACTGCAAAAATTAAACTTGAATTTCAAAGAACTTGAATTTTATTACGCCGACTACAACTTAACGTTGCAATTCTTCATTTTAACACGTAGTCCTAAATATAGTATTTTGTCCTTTAATTTTGAACTATATATATATGCCTTTCTTTGATACATGATTAAAGGCCAGAATATACCAGGAATGTTTAGTAACTACCCCAGAAAAGACAAACTAAAATCAAAAGTAAATGCTTTTTATCATGCTTTTAAAGAACATTATAATACACATGTAAATTACAAGCAACAGATAACAATTTGTTTAGGAAAACTGTAGACCGAAAGTAAAAACATATATATATATATATAAAAAAAGGTCGGTATAATTCAGTCATTTCTGCATTCTGAAAATGCCACAACCTCGCTCTGCGCTACACTTTGCAATCAAGTGGGCCTCTAACGTTCTCACGCAAACTTAGAAATTCCAGCAATTTGTTGAATGAGGTGCGTCATTTTCACTACGTTAAAGTTACATGTAGAATATATTGATAATAATGACAAAAAGAAATTGATCTACATGACACTACGTTGGCATGGAAATAGCTGGATTATATCTGGCGTTGGCTTTATCGTGTAGTCCCTCATCATCCAGACGATGTGGAAGATCCGTTCAGTGCTGTTTTTCGCACTTTGTTGCCAAAGCTGAACTGTCGATTTGGGCTTGTCATCGTCGTGCAGTTAATAGGATTAGAAATATGGGTGAAATGAGGTTGTGAAGGCTGAACCAGTGTGCTTGGACTCGGTAGTGGTGAGGAGGTGGATGGAACTCCAGCGGGACTGCTTGCCTTATCGCTGGCTGAGTCGCTTTCAGAGCGGTTTGTATTGTTCACGCCATCTTGTGGATGGGTAATCTTCATTTTTTTACAGCTGGGCCGCACACGGTACTTCAGAGGCAGTGGTCCATTCTATGTAATGTGGGAAAATAACAGAAGGCACCTTATTGAACGGTGTTTGCTGAACAACTAAAATGCTCAGTCCACGAATGAACGAATTATCTAAAGATAAATAAATTTCCTGCTTGAATAATACACTTTGAGATTTAAGAGCAAGTGTGTAAAGTGAGTCAGCAGTCAGATTTGACAGTAAAAAAACTACTCTTCTTAGAACTTACTCTTCTCCAAGTGTAGATGTAGGCAATGTCCATTAATGTGTAGTAATCCTTCAAAGGCTCATCCTCATACATAACTTCAATCTATTAGTACAAAGAACGATAATATTAAAAAAAACAAGCACCAGTCAATCAATATGACACCATAATGGACAATGCAAAATCAGCAAGTAAATAAATAACAATACCCTTTTTCTATAAAATTATTATGTGATGAAACGCTGAACTACTAAACTTCAAACTTCAACTGTAACAAAAGGATTTTAAAAAGGCCAGAAACTGAAACTACATCTGTAATAGATCACATTACCTGAAAAGTAGGAGGTATATCCATTTTGCTTCTCAGAAATTTCCTCAAATGCATCACAGTCATGGCAGCAGGGCATTGTAAGTATCTTTTATTATTAACCTGTGTGGTTAATAATAACATAAATAATACACAGATATATTATTCAGATAAGCTTTACTATTTGGTGTAATCTGTATCACCATCATTACAGAGAAAAAAAGGCTTTCAGCAACAGCAAGCACTTCTTAATTACCTCTTCTTTTTGCTTCTCATCTGTGCTGGCTTGCTGTTGGGCCCTGAACAATAAATAGTATAATTGTTGTAAATTAAATACTAAACGATAACTTTTCAAGTTTCATCTTTATCATTAAGGTTACACTAGAGAATGGCCACTTCAAGTTTATGTATTTATTTACACATGACGAACCAAACATCACTTATACAGACATATGCAAACACATACCGTGCCTTCTCAGTAATTGGGCCTCTTCTTTGGAATGATTTGCCAGTGGAGATCAGAACGGCCCGTAGCCTGTCTCTTTTAAAAACCCATTTGTTTTCATTGGCCTATTAGGACTATATTTTTGCCTATTTCTTATTTGTGCTTTAATTTTTGTATTACTCAATTTTTATGATGACGTTTCTTACTGTGAAGCGCTTTGGTGGCTGTTTTAAATGTGCTATATAAATAAAGTAAACTTAAACTTAAACATACCTTTGATCAAAAAACTCAATTGACAGACTAATAATTTCATCATCTGTGATGATTCGCTTGTCTTCATCAGCAACTTCTCCTCGATCCTCATTTGATCCATTTGCAGCTTTGAAAAAAAAACAACAAAAGATGAATCATAGCTTAAATTTAAACAAAACAATTAGACTAAACAGTTGCACAACAGTCTATTCAAACAGCTACCCTAACAAAGCCAAACTTATTTACTTATGTACATTAATTTACTTACCATCAACAGACGGGTGTTCAGCATAAAAATCTCTCCTACGTTTCATTTCATCTGCACAGAAAAATAAATTTCTTCTCCTCGATCCT